TGGCTGTACATCTCCGAGATCATGCCCCTGCGCGTGCGCGGGAAGGCCGTGGGACTCTGCACCGGCATGAACTGGGGGCCGGCGAATACTTGTCATAGTCGGGTAACATTTTACATTTTTGAGGGTACTTAAACCCAATAAGGAATATAAATTAAAATTTTAATACTACCCCAACCATGAACTAGGAATGTGTTGAGCGCCTTCGTGACGCCGCAGATGATCTCCTCCCCACTCGGCCCGGGTGGAACGCTGATCTTCTTCGGCTGCTTGCCCTAACCTGAACCCTGAGCTCGAACGGCTAAACTCGGAAACTTAAACCTCAAACCCCAACCCCTTAACCTTAAACCCTAAACCCCAGTCCCTGAACCTTAAACCCTAAACCTTAATCCCTGAACCTTAAACCCTCAAGCCCAAACGCTGAACCCCATGCCCAAAGGTTGCGTGTGCTTGGTGGTGATTCCCTTCGTGGCAGCCTGCGTTCCCGAAACCAAAGGCAAAACCCTCGAGGACAGCGCAATGGGAACTGGGATTAAGGATGTTTTGTGCTTATGGTGATGGAGTCCTGTCGGTAGGCCGGAACTGGTAACAATTGAGCTCCCAAATCCCAATCAAACCCTTTTAAGCTTTAGGAGGCCTAGGGTCCAGGGTTTTGAGGCTTCAGGATTCAACCAAACTATTTTTTTGGGTGTTCAGGGCTTTAGGGTTTAGGGGCCAGGCTTTCGAACGGAAATGCGACAGACAATGGAAGCCTGACGCAATCTGTGTAGCACTATTTCCGGAACAGTCAAGGCAAAACCCCACCCTCCCCTACCACCAAGCCCGAATTTAAATCCTCCAAACCCTAAGCAAAACCCCACCCTCCCTTACCGCCAAAACCGAGTATAAATCCTCCAAACCCTAAACCCCAAACCCCAAGCCTTAAACCCCAAGCCCCAAACCCCAAACCCTAAGCCTCAAGCCCCCAAACCCTAAACCCAAACCCCAAACCCTAAACCCCAAGCCCCAAACCCAAAACCCCAAAGCCCCAAACCCTAAGCCCCAAGCCCCAAAAAGGAACTTCAATGCTAACCTCGCTACTCCCTGAGGCCCTGAACCTGGAGCCCGGTATCCGGACCTACTCCCCCCGAATTGCCTAGAACCAAAATATACCAAACAGTTTAGGGTTTAGGGTTTAGGGTTTAGAACCAAAACACATCGAAACCCTCTGAACTCCAAACCCTAAACCCTACAGCCTAACCCCTAAACCCTAAACCCCAAGCCCTACACCCTGAACCCTAAAATCCCCAACCCGACACCCGAAACCCTAAGCCCCCAGCTCCCTGGAGGAGACGTCGAGGTGTTTTATATTGTGGGAACCCTCGGGCCCAAACCTTCAAATCCTAAATGGGGTTTAGGGTTTAGGGTTTAGGGTTTAGGGTTTAGGGTTTAGGGTTTAGGGTTTAGGATCCTTTTTATCAGGGTGCCGTGCTATATTGGGGACTTAAAATGGGACCCTAGTTTAGAGAACTACCCAAATCCCAAAGCCTAAATCTTGGATACTGCCCCCACTCAGTAACAGTTCAGCAGTATTCATAACATAGACATATTAGGCCCTTAATAGTACCCTTGTTATAAACTGTTCCTGTATGGCGGCAGTACCCAACCTAAATCCTAGAGCCTTCCCTAAACCCTAAACCCTAAAGCCTAAAGCCTAAACCCTAAACCCTAAAGCCTCAGCCATAAAGCCTAAAGCCTAAATCCGAAAGCCTAGGCCTTGAAGCCTAAAGTCCCAACCTTAAGTCCTAGAGCCTAAACCCTAAAGTTGGTTTGGGGTTTAGGGTTCAGGGTTTAGGGTTTAGGTTTAGGGTAAGTCCTACAACCTAAACCCTAGCGCCTCAACTCTAAACCTTCCGGAGGTAAAGCTGAGTTTGTGACCCAGTTGTCTATCGGGCCATTTGGAGCTATGCTGATATTTTGGGGGTCCCTTTCTATTCATATACAGGGAAAGCCAAGCCATGCCATTACGTCTTATTACTACTTGTTGAGGTCTCTAGAGCGACATGGGTAGTTATCAAAATTATGGTCCCTTTTGGGGTACTCTAAATAATTGGTGCCGTATTATAATAAGGACCCACAAAGGGACCATAATTTTGACAACCACCCACATGAGGCGATTGCATCTCTGAAGATTGAGGCCCCAGGGCTTTTTAAGTGCGGGCTGTAAGGTGGGCTTCGCGGGAATAGGGCTGCTAATGCTTGAAGCACTGCTCATGTTAACAGTAAGAATCCTTACCATCAACCCCTGAACCCTCAACCCTTACAAACACCCCAAACCCCCAACCCCCAACCCTTCTAGAAATCACTAAATCCTAAACCCTTGTACACAATCCGGAAACCCTAAGCCCTTACAGAAATCCCTAAACCCTAGACCCTCGTAGACATCCTTAAACTCATAAATGCCAGGAGATCGTGCCCCTCTTCCGCTTCTCGGGATGGAAGGGCTTCCGTGCCTTCGCCAAGGCACCCCACCCCAGGTTTAGGGTTTAGGGTTTAGGGTTTAGAGCAGAAGTCATGATGGAAGTAACGTATAAGCTGTACAAGCATTAGTAGTATAAGTAGTAGTAGTAGTAGTAGTAGTAGTAGTAGCAGTACCAGTAGTAGCAGCAGTAGTAGTAGTAGTAGTAGTAGTAGTAGTAGTAGTAGTAGTAGTAGTGGTACTCGTAGTAGTAGTAGTAGTAGTAGTAGTAGTAGTAGTAGTAGCAGTAATAATAGTCGTGGTGGTAAGAGTAGTAGGCCCCAAATTCCAAAATCCGTAAACCGTATAGTTGTTAGACCCTAAGCCCTTAAACCCTTTGCCTGATAGAAGACCCAACCCTGACTGAACACTACACCCCAAACCCCCCTAAACCCCCAAGCTTTGGTTTGGCGGTTGAGGGTGTAGGGTTTCGCAACCCCAAATGGCTCTGAACCAAAACTATACCATAAGTATGGCAAGGAGCCTTATACCTCCACTTTTGGTTCCAATATATCTCAACCATATCACCTTAAACCCTAAACTCTAACCCTCACCCCTATAATCCGTAAACCCTAAACCCTAACCCCTATAATCCGCAAGCCCTAAACCCGGAATCTCTCGTTGCACTTGCCAGGGCAACTTGCACGGGGGCAGGGGCTACGTTGCTAGCGTGGAGGTTGGGGCCTCAGAGCACGATGCAAGCATGCGTAGTATGCTGAGGTCTGAAGAATTAGAAATAGTTTCGGATTTAGGGTTTTGGGTTTAGGGGTTTAGGATTTAGGGTGTAGGGTTTCCGACATAAGGATGCTAGATTTTGCGCCGAAACTACCTTCTCATCTGATTCTTAAGGCCCTTTTCTTAGGCCAAGGGCTCAGGGGGCGTGAAACCAAAGTGCTATCTCTCCTTAAACCCTAAGCCTCAACCCAAAGCCCAAAGGTACTTGAAAATCCTGCGTTTCTTTGTCCTGAGCCCCAAACCGAAACCTTGTAGACACCCTCAGAAGAACCCTTTCAAAACAAGCCCTATTGAAACCCCACTGTCGACCCGTAGAAGCAGGAACCCCCGTGAAGCAAAAAAAGCCAACGTCCCAAAATCCTTTTTGATCTTTACCTGCCAGAGTCATGCCCTTAACCCCAAAACTGAAACCCTAAACAATGTCGGGGTCGAGTGAGTGAGGTTGAGAGTTGCGAAAGGGTTAACCAAACTCGCCTGCCCGCAGGGCTTTCCTTGAGGCTGATGGTTGCGGAGAGGAAAAGAGGCGCTAAAAAAAAAAAACAAAAAGCCGAAACCTTAAACCCTAAACCCTCAAAGCCGAAACCTTAAACCCTAAACCCCTAAACCCTAAACCCCTAAACCCCTAAACCCCTAAACCCCTAAACCCCTAAACCCCTAAACCCCTAAACCCAAAGCCCCTAAGCCCTAAACCCTAAACCCCTAAACCCTAAACCCTAGGTTTAGGGTTTTGGGGCTCGTGACGAAGAAAGGCCCAGAAGCCCGGCATAGCCATGGATCTCTGAGGCTGGCCCTGCTC